CAAGAATAAAATGACATATTTTCTGTTTCAAATATCTAAATAGTTAGTATAAAAAAAAGTCAAACCATAAGGTGGCATAAGCTCCCTGAGGGTAGGGATTTTTTTCTGTCTTGTTCACTTCTGAATCCCCATCACCTAGAAAAGTGCCTGGTACATAGTGGGCACTCAATATGTTTAATATAGTTTCTAAAATTCAATCTGCCAAACAAAGAAAATGTTTGTTACCAAAAATATCAAAGCTCCAAATGAAAACTTTGGAATCGAAATACACTTTAAATAAGGCCATAAAATACTTTTACTTTCATATCTAAAATATACCTCAGTTCTTGATAAAGACTTAAATTACAGTGAGATGATGAAATATTTGTAATCTTTATGAATCTTGGACCTTTATGACCCAGGCTCCATAGTTAAGAAAACATCATCTGGATAGTCAAAGTAGTAATAAAGGAATTCCAACTTTTAATTTATGTCCTTTCAAAAACATAGATGAATGGACAATAACAAGTCACCACACACTGAGAAAATTTCTGTGATAAAACGTGAGGGATTAGAGCCAAAATACATGAAACAATATGACCTAACATAATTTAAAAAATAGAATAGAACATACCAACAACAATGATAAAACTCTAACGCCAACACAGACATTTGAGAAGTTATGGCATTTATGATATAAGAACAAGATACTCTGGAAGGAACACAGCCAGGAAAAAAAATCTCCTGGAAATTAAAAAAAAAAATTGTGACAAAATAAAATGTTCAATAGGAGTGTTGGAAGAGTAAGCCAAGGACTCTCCCAGAAAGTAGAATGAAAGGAGAGAGTCAGAACATAGGAGAATGAAGATAAAATAGAGGGTCCACTGGTAGATCCAAAATTTAGCAAGATGATTTCCAAAAAGAAAAAACAGAAAAAAATGAAGAGGAAAAAATTATAGAAGAAATATCAGAAGAGAATTTTCCTGAGTCTTCCAACTGAAAAAACCCTCTGAAAACTCAGAGACAATGAATGAAATAAGACCATCTTCTGTAAAATTGCAGGACACTAAAGATAAGAGGGGAACTTACAGCTTATAGCTTTTAGAGGAGAGAAGTAGGCCACTAACCAAAGAATGTGAGTCAGACTGGTTTCTGACTTATTAGCAACACTGGGTGCTAGAAGACAGTGGAGGGAGCCCTTCAACTGGTTCTCAATCTAATATTCTATAGTGTGTCAAACCATGAGACAAGTGTGAAGGCAGAATAAAGACATTTTCAGGCAAAATGGCTAATGACGTTTACGTCCCATGATTTTTTTCCTATGAAGTAATTGGAAGATTTGCCACAGCAAAATGTGAGTTAATTAAGAAAGGAACTGGCATGGGATGAGGATACAGTGACTCCAGCCCAGGAGAGTAATTAAAGAAATCCCAAAACGCAGCTGAGTAGCAGACCTGGCAAACAATCAGCCTTGAGTGGACTAGACCGTGAAGATGTGTATAATAAAGTGCCCTTCTTGCCTCTGCGGTGAACATTATTTCAAAGACAGACCCATCTACCATTTTTGGATTTTCAACTTTTAGGATCAATCCTGAGACCAGTGAACAAGATTTAAGTTTGGCTACAGAACAGAACACCAATGTTTTAAATTCTACAGTGAAATAGAAAAAAAATGAATGATAGGTTGGAAGAAGAAACAATGGATGCGTGAAGAGGAGATGGGGAGTGGGTGATAACCTCATCTTACCAGTCAGGGAGTGTTCAGAGTTGATGAACAGAGTTGATAAAACAAAGCAAAACAGTCCTCCGTATGTTACTTAAAGTTACAGAAGTAACCAGTAGGGAAATTAAAAATACGGATATGTCTGTTTGTTAGAAGGGGAAAGGAAAGTGGAGAAGTGGAATAAATGACCTAAATCTCATCTCAGTACGAAAGGATGCTTGTANTGAAAACTCAGAGACAATGAATGAAATAAGACCATCTTCTGTAAAATTGCAGGACACTAAATATAAGAGGGGAACTTACAGCTTACAGCTTTTAGAGGAGAGAAGAAGGCCACTAACCAAAGAATGTGAGTCAGACTGGTTTCTGACTTATTAGCAACACTGGGTGCTAGAAGACAGTGGAGGGGGCCCTTCAACTGGTTCTCAATCTAATATTCTATAGCGTGTCAAACCATGAGACAAGTGTGAAGGCAGAATAAAGACATTTTCAGGCAAAATGGCTAATGACGTTTATGTCCCATGATTTTTTTCTTATGAAGTAATTGGAAGATTTGCCACAGCAAAATGTGAGTTAATTAAGAAAGGAACTGGCATGGGATGAGGATACAGTGACTCCAGCCCAGGAGAGTAATTAAAGAAATCCCAAAACGCAGCTGAGTAGCAGACCTGGCAAACAATCAGCCTTGAGTGGACTAGACCGTGAAGATGTGTATAATAAAGTGCCCTTCTTGCACTTCTTGCCTCTGCAGTGAACATTATTTCAAAGACAGACCCATCTACCATTTTTGGATTTTCAACTTTTAGGATCAATCCTGAGACCAGTGAACAAGATTTAAATTTGGCTACAGAACAGAACACCAATGTTTTAAATTCTACAGTGAAATAGAAAAAAAATGAATGATAGGTTGGAAGAAGAAACAATGGAGGCATGAAGAGGAGATGAGGAGTGGGTGATAACCTCATCTTACCAGTCAGGGAGTGTTCAGAGTTGATGAACAGAGTTGATAAAACAAAGCAAAACAGTCCTCTGTATGTTACTAAAAGTTACAGAAGTAACCAGCAGGGAAATTAAAAATACGGATATGTCTGTTTGTTAGAAGGGGAAGGGAAAGTGGAGAAGTGGAATAAATGACCTAAATCTCATCTCAGTACGAAAGGATGCTTGTAGACGAGGTCTAATACTTACGAATCCAGAAAAAGGTGGTCTAAGTGCACAATTTAGAGTTCTCAAGGCAACTATCTGATGTACCTTCTGAAGAAGTTTGAGAGCATTTTCCTCTGAGGAGTAGGATTGGGGCTGTGGTGGTAGTGGGTGGGGGAATAAAGGGTCTATTTCTTTACTACATAAGCTTTGGTGTATTATTTGATTTTGTAACCATCTGCATGCATTGCTTTGATTGAGAATATTAAAAGGAATCATATACGAAAAAAAGCTTGTATACTGTAAACAGTTGACAAATGGTGGCCATTATTAAATTAGTGAGCAGGCAGGGATATAATCACAAATTAGATTAACGAGTTGTGATGGCAAAGTATTTAAAGCATGGATTTTGGGCTATGCTTGAGTCCTGGCTCTGCCACTTTCTATGTGGTGGGCCTTGACAATGCTCAGATTCTCATCTGTAAAGTAGGGATAATAATAGAATCTACTACACGTGGTTGTTAGGAAGATCATATATAATAATTCATGTAAAGCTGTTAGCATGGTGTCTGGCCCATTGTAAAGATAATTATAAATATTTATCATTTTTATTCAGTAGTATAAATTTGAGAATAAGTCTGGTCTCAAGGAACAAGGGATCTACACTGCAGGTATTAACAAGTTCTGTGACTTGGAATGGGTAATTAAAATTGCCCACAGCATTGTTTCTCTTTTGAAAAGTAGTTATAATAGCATCTGCTCTTGTAATTTTAGAATCAATTACAAAAATTAACAAAAACTCTAACAATAATCCTGGGAAAGGTAGTGTGAGCTCTGCAGCTGATAAGCTGTTATACATAGGTGTTCAGAGTAGAACCTTCTGTGGGCTCACTCCTGAAATAAATGCAGGTTTATAATTCCTTACCCAAAACTTGGGGGCCAGATGTGTTTAGGAATTTAGAATTTTCTGGATTTAGAATGGTATTATGGTATGTGTGCCATTATATTATGTGATATCTCCAGTGAGATCTGAGAAAGTACCCCATAATCAAACACGTTAATATTTTTGCATTGGATAATATTAATTACAAGTATTAAGTGAGCT